CATCTAACTTCATCAGAAAGTGAAGATGAAGTACAGGTGTCATTGATAACGAATGATCCAACTTCTAGTGAGACTTTTCCACCGCCTACAGACGATGAAATTGAGCATCAAGTCAGGTCTACGCAGATCAATAATAAACAGGGAATCAATATTGTGCAAGTGAACAGGAAGGCTAGAGTTTTAGGAGAAGTTTACCTGGGATTTAAGAAAGTAGATGATGACAAGTATAAACCGTGTGTTGAAAGACCCAAACGAACTATCAAACCACGTTGTTTACATTCAAAGTCGATTACAAATCCGAAATAAAAAAATGCGTTTATGTGCGATATGAACTTGCGACTGCCTCAATTATTTTTACTAGATGGTTATCTGTTGGTAATTGATCAAATTTATGAATGGCAAGACGACTGAAAATGTTACTGCTGACAAAATATTTTTTAGATTTTTAGATTAAATCTTATTAATCAGAAGAGGTTTACTTAATGAAGGCCTTGTGTATATTTTTTGCGATTTGTCTATTATTTCTCGGATTACTAACTCTGCTATTCTGCATATTTGGATAGCATCTCAGGTGGGGATAAACTAGACCTCCTTGAAAGCAACGAACTCATATGTATGACCAACTCCAGGTTCTTGTAAAGACAGCTCTCTGTTACGTACTTCGCATTTTATATTTTTTTGTATTACCTGTACTACATATCCGGCGATGTACGTAATTATTTGCTCACTATATTCGGACATTCGAGGTAACGTGCTGCAAAAATTAATGAAATTACAGATACTGCTAATAATAGATACTACAAAACTGAAAAAAAAAACGAAACTTTACTAAACTTTATTATAAAAAAACAGTTAAAGAATATTTTTATAATATTGTTAAGGTCATAATAATTTTCGTCCCTATGTTTTCAAAATCGATCAGAATCGAGAACAGTGTTGTCTAACGTATATTGTATATATATATATATATATATATGTATTACAATGTAATTACAAATCATGAGGCAATCACTCAGTTGTATATTTGGTTTCTCGATATTCACACAAAATCAAAATAATTTAAAATAAATTATGTATCTTCTGATTACAAAATCACTTGCCCGTGGAAGGAAACGTCACTGTTTACTCGTTTACCCACAGTTATGGTGCTTTTGCAGTTTGTAATGGCACGATAATATCTCTACGATAACGGTCGAGCGCGTTCAGAAGTGTTATATGTGTTTATTAACATACTTATATGCCACATTTTGGGCGTTTCGCGTGTGTTATGGATCCAGTTAAGTGATTAACTGTAACATCAGGTCAACGCACTTGCATTCGCAGCAGAAACATGTACCCCGAGCATTATTACAACGTGACCGCTGACAAAATTATTATTTTATATACTAATTATAACTTACTAATCGGCCCAACGTTCTTAACATCGGTAACGTAGACTAAGAGTCGTATTCCAGAATTCTACTCAATACTCAAGTCAGGACTTGAGTATGATTTCTAGTGCTTTAAATCATACTCAAGTCCTGACTTGAGCATTGAATAGAGTTCTGGAATACGACCCTAAATTCCTTTAGTTAAGATCTTTTTTGTATAAGTACTTTTCGGCCCAACGCTCCGCACTTCAGACGTAGTTTAAATTCTTTTAGTTACGAAATCCATTGTGAAAGCTTAATGGTACTATTATCTACATGTTTTCTCCTTTTTCTTCACCTCAACTGCGGCCGCCCTATTTAATTCATGTCTTGCTGCAGCCCGTACAAGCTGTTGATCATTGGATTACTGTTTTGTTTTTATGTATTTTGATTTAATTTCTTGTTGTTTCTTGGGTTGCATTCATACATTTAATTTTAATTATACCTTTTAGTTCTACTTATAGGTCGTAAAAATAATTTGAAAATGTTGAGATGTTTGTATAATGTAAATATTCAAATAACTTTTGTTAAATGCGTTGCTGAAGTATTGAAATTTTTAAACCAGTATCGCGGATTGGTATCTCAAATATGGGAGTATGATTATGAAATGCTGAATGATTCTGAATTAGAGACACTCTTGTTGAAACGACCATAAACACATTACTATTTGATGCAATTATTTCACCGAATGAACGCCTTAGTTCTGTAATGAACAGTGCGTGTGAAGACCCGCGCTTTGCAATTCGAGTGCACGGCGAGATTATGCGATTGTGTGGATTGGGCGCGCCGCGGGCACGCATACAAGCCGCGCTGCTAAGTTTGTATGAAGTAACACTGCTTTTCTTATTAAACTATGCTAACACCGTGTGGCTAATGTTATGTTAATGTAATATAAACTTACTTCAAGTTATAATAAAGTGTGTTGCAGTACTTGGAAGGAATTCAGTTCTCATCTGATCTTTATTACATTTATCGGAGTCTGTTTAGTACATTCACTACATATACCATAGTACAGTCCTTTGCTGAAATGAGTAATGAGATAAATTAAATTAGACATACATATTGTACGAGTATATCAAATTTCCATGAACTTTATTAGCTCTAATACGGTTGTTTAATAATAGAAGCCATATGTGGCGAAGTGCACGTACAATATTATTCCCATCGGTTTGCGTTGATAAGTTGATTAAACTCATATTATAATACACTAATCTACATTAACAACATTCTCATTGATTGTGAACAAAACGCCTGACACTTTTTTCAGAAGAAAATGTGAAAATTAGCATGTTCGTATTGTTTTAAATACGTGAATTTATATTACTTCCGGCAAATGAGGGATTTTAATTACCAGGGCCATGTGCAAACGTGATAGAAAGACTGTTTCGTCGTGATAGTAAATAGATCTAGTTGAATTATTGTGAAGGAGCTGTTCATGCATACTAGTGTTTTTGGTTTTGAAAATATTTTTTGCAATACTTGTTTGATTTTCAGTTTCTATTAATTACGCAGATAAGTCATTAGTGAGTAAGTTGGCGTTGATTCATAAAGACCGTCTTTTGGTCTACTTTCCATTAAAATCTTCTCTAAACCAGCTTCTATATTGAACATATTATACGCGGAGTGCAAGAAAGGACTCACCCCCCACGATGTACCATTCCGTTTCTATACTGTTGAGTACCTTACGCAGGTTCGCAAATCCTTTCATAACAATAGCAAGCATTACGCGCTGCGCAGATGGAGCAACTTTGATCATCGAGTTTCGGCAACTGGCCACCCGCAACTAGCTGTTTATGACGCTTTTCATAAATTTCAAGAAACCGCGCAGACTTCGACACGACAGACACGCAGTTTTCGATTGCCGAAATCCGTGATTAAATAAATTCTTCATTGCTGTAATTTGGAACTTGCAAAATTGTACCGGTTGTCTCCAGTTGTCAGTTTCTGCAACCGGCAACCGGAACTCGTGAAGCAACTTCACTCCCTCCCCGTTCCCCGCAGCGTCAGTCTTGACCGTGGATTTCGAAAGTTTATATAAAATTGCGGTATCCGGCAACAAGGCCTTTTAGTTGCTCCAACCGGCAACCGTTAATGGAAACTTGTAAAAAGTTGCCAGTTGCGTCAACTAAAGTTGCTCCATCTGCGAACCTTATAGCATAATCGATACGATGAGAAGAAAAACAAGTGGTCCTCATACTAGACTATTTAAAAAGGCTTTTGAGAAACAATAAGGGCATTTCTCCTAGAAGGGCTAAATTCTCAACTTCGGTGGTCGCATTCTTTTTCTTAATTTCAGGAAAAACGTTATGTTTATAGAAGGAAAAAGAACTCAAACTTACATAAGATTCCGTTTATTGGGCAACTAGATTCTTAATGGTTTATATTATATTTGTGATAATCCACCGAATTCAGCTACCACCGAAAGCAGGATTTTTTAACAAAAAGCATAATTTTTGTATAAAATATTATGAAAAGGGCAATAAAAACATTCAATAATACATAAACATATTATAATACAACATAAACATTTACTAATATGACTAACTAACTATTCAATCAGGCTTTAAAAATCAAAATTTATTTATAAATCGACCAGAACAACACAAACAAATTTCATTTTATGGCTATTAATTAAATTTAGTTTTCAGTTTGGCTGTTCAGGCTTTTTTCAATCACGCAAAGTATTTCCGTACCTCTTATTAAGAAAATTGAGAACGTAATCTGTATCTACAAAAGCAATAAATTTTTGGAAACTTGCGCGATTTATATCTTTCATTAGTTTTTATACATGACGAGGTAATTCATGCAGCTTCAAACTCTTTCCTTCCGATTTTTCTTCGCATACCTCTGTCTATCTTTTTCTTTAAACCTTTCATATATAATCGGATCGCTTTTTATCATTGCTTTTCTAACACGTTCCTTCATTTTCTTGTTTTCTGTTTTGATTTTCCTTATTTTAGTGGGAAGAAAGTAGTAATATAAAATTGTGAAAATCAATAATATTAACTAAACTTTTACATGAAAAAAAGAAAATATGGCTTCGATGGTAGATTTTTCCGACTTCGGTGGAAGCTTTTTGAATTCGGCGGCATAAAATCCACCGAATCTAAGGCCACAGGATACAGAAAAAAAAATATTTTTGTTATTACTCATAAACGACAATACTTGTAAAAACAATAAATTGTTATTATACTTTAGTCGTTACAACACATAGCATAAAAAATAATGCATGCATGCGATCATAAAAATTTAGTTTTTGAAATATCGTTCACACCGAATTTAAAAATCAACTTGGACCAAATCCACCGAATTACGTATTTACACGCGAAAAGTCCTAAAATCGGCAACGAATAATACGAACGAATTGCGATGCTTCTAAAATGCTTCACTTCTGATGTGTAGCGTGATTAGTAACTACCACCGAATTCCCGCGTAACCCTGGGACACGCAGCAATTTTGGTATTGTGATAAAACTATTGCCTAGTTTATTGTGAAATTCAGCTTAAAAGTACTGTCATCTAGTTTATTATACGTGAACTAAATAGTCTAGTATTGATATACGGTTTAAATTTTAAGAAAAATGACACTGTGTTGGATTCTGCATTCGGGACACGCCACCGTTGCGTTGTCAGGTTTTAGACCTTTCGGATTTTTTTTTTCCATTAGGTCCGAAAGGTTTATTGGGAAGATTTAGTGCTCTCCAGTTAGCTTGCGACTATATTATACTCTTTTATTTTTTGTAGCTTTTTGTTTTGGTAAATAAGTGGAGTTTAGTGCATGGACACAGAAAATTACGGCTTTGGAGAAATATAAAGGTCCATGATATCCGTTAACAAGAACAATTGTTTCACTATGATGTAGTGGGACATTAGGCCGATAAATTTTATATATATTACACGTGGTTGCTAGTGACGCAATCGATTTGGAGTACTTTTAACCAAAGGAGTAATTCGAATCATTCTATAGAAACTAGCTCCGTGGCCGAAGGGTTACCATGACACGCAGAGGTCCTGGGTTCGATTCCCAGGCCGGGAGAAATATGTGTATGGCCCACATTTATTTCTCTCGAGAGTTTGGGTGTAATTTGTGGTTATCTACGTGTTGCGTTATTATTACCTTTTCTCATTGATGTACAAACGGCAACGAGAAGGGCGCTCACTGGTATGATAAGATGACCTTTCAAGCCCCTCGTATTTTTGCAACTTTTGGATTGGAGTACTCCTGCAATAAATAGTTTTGTTTAACGCGTTTGTTGTGTACTAACAAGTAACGTCGCCATCAACATGGAATTATGTATTAGGTTACATCCTGCAGCGTACAGACCCACTATAAACAGAAGTTTTAGAACAGTAGTGTACGACTGAATTTACACCAAGGTCGACTCCATTTAATTAATTCCAAAATAATTTAAATGGATGAAACACTTTGCGGACAGCATAAAGTACGGACATTTCATTATGTCCGTATTTCATTACGACAAAACCAATCTGCCATGTGATATTTGGCTGGTCACATTTTCAAGTAGCTTCTAAATCTGGTTTATAATTCTCTGCTCTACAAGCCAAGATCATACCGTTTTAGACGTGTTCTTCTGTCAACATATTTCTATATTTGTTCTTTATTAATTTCAGTTGAGAAACGCCTGTTCGCATAGATATGTTGCTACGAAAACGCTTTGATGCTGAGTCATCGAGTATAGTTATAACCAGAAATAGAGACGAAATAAGGGCCATCCAACTCATCAGTCAAATGGTACTGATATCACTTTTAAATATCAACTCTCGTTTGCGTTGAAATCACAAATTAGAAAGCTGAAATAGTACAGCGCCAACAACTGACCTGTGTGTACGTCTCCGTATATTCCAAAAATATTCTGTGTTGTAATGAAGATAATATCTCTAACTATGCCATAGCCTGTTCCATTTGGTGGTGTGGGAAAAACAACAAAACATCTAATTACAAAACAAACAAGATCACATATTCTCATCGGTAATTAAGTAAATATTAAATTAGGTAATTTTTCAATTTTCGTCCATTATAGCAAAGATCAAGTTAAACTGGTCGATTTAAAGTGAAACAATTGATGAAACCCGTCAATTGTTTCGAATTCGGGCTGGCCAATCGGAGCGCAGTTGTCACCGCAATGATATGGCAGAATGGTTTTCAAATAAATTAAATGACATTTTGGTTGTGTTTCTGGTTATATACTCGATGTGCTGAGTGAACAATTACGTAACATTTTGTTCACATGACAAGGTCCATGACTGACTAAAAATTACAGCGTTTTTGTATACTTATATGCTTTTAAGTATGAGCTCATCTCTGGTCTTCTCTATGTACTAATTTTCTAACGGAATCACGGTAGCGACGGAGTATATAATTAGCGTGAACTTTGCAATTTGCTATTTCATTATTTTTTATTCGACTTTATGTTCACAGATGCCTAAAATAAAGCTGGCGAGCTACCAAGCACATGAGTCAACAAACGGACCAGAAGCAAAGTTCATACAGCTGCGCTATGATAGGTATATTACAAGCTTGGGCTGCGTGTGTGCATGAGCATTGGCGGCTTCGTCGCGTACGGAGAGAGAAACCTGGGGTTCTACTCCGAAACAATTACTGCGAAATAAGAATAATCAACTAAATTAAAAGACGAATAATGCGAATGAAGCTTCATACTTAACATTCTCTTTTGATTTGGTCGTTTATTACTTCTTTGACAGTAATTGCTTTGGACGTAATAAAGCAAATAGTATTTTCACCCAAACTTGTTTTGTCATTCATTATTTAAATTTACGTCATAACGCAAAAGCATGGTCTGATGACCAGGACAACCATAGAGAGTTTTTTTTTTTTATTTTTTTTTATTGTGACTCGGCAAAATGACTGCACCGCGCCTGATGGAAAGTGCGAATACAGTCCAGAGATGAGAGTAACGGATGGAAACACAAATATCTTCACTCCGTCACTATCATTTTGCCGGTCTGGCC